TTTTTTTACATTTTATTAAAAATATTAATTATTTTTAAATTTTAAATAAAATGTAAAAAAAAAATCTAAGATAGCTATTTTGTAGAGTAGAATTTAAGAAAAATTTTAGTAAAAAAATATCTTATTAATATTCAGTAGTAAATATTCTGTAGCGTTTTGAAGTTTGTGAAAATTTGAATTTTCATGTATTATTTTACGGTATTAAACATTGAAATACGTATTGAGAAAAGGACAGAAGAAAACGCTATCTTTTCAATATACTTTTGAATGAGAGTGATAAGTAATAATTGCCTTATCTAATTTCTAATCATGGTATTAATGCCAAGTTTAAGACATATTATCATCATATGTATACATAGTAATCATGAAAAGATAGCGTTTTCTTCTGTCCTTTTCTCAATACGTATTTCAATGTTTAATACCGTAAAATAATAAATGAAAATTCAAATTTTCACAAACTTCAAAACGCTACAGAATATTTACTACTGAATATTAATAAGATATTTTTTTACTAAAATTATTCTGAAATTCTACTCTACAAAATAGCTATCTTAGATTTTTTTTTTACATTTTATTTAAAATTTAAAAATAAATAATATTTTTAATAAAATGTAAAAAATTAATTATTGAGATATAGCTATGAACCTAACGTATAACTATTATTTAAAAAAAAAACCCAGCACAGTGAGGTGGCGGCACAGTGGGGTTGTGGCATAGATGATATCTGATAGTGATTAAAATCACTATCATAAAAAACGCTTCGATGCAAATCTGTAGATAGTGTTTAATTAAAAAAAAAAATTTGTTAAAATAGCATATTTTTGAATATGGTAGCCATTTTCGCATAGAAGATAGGTCGTCGGGACAAATTTTTTTTTTTCATTTTATAGTACATAAAATAAGCTTTAATTTGATATATGTTTAAAGGACGCAGTATTTCCGGAACATTTTCAAAAATTAAGTTGAAAAAGTTAGTTTTTGTAAAAAAGTTGCTATTTTAAATCCCCCCTGTGAGCAGAATAAGTGTTAGATTTTCAAAAAAAAATGATATCAAATGAAAGAAAATTACCTAAGGTTTCAATATAAAGAAATATTATTTTGATTAGTTAATATTTGAAAAAGTTATGGCAGTTTTAAGTACAAAAAACATCGTTATAAAAGGTGATTTTTATCGCAAATATTACATTTTTTTTTAAATTTTCGACAGCCATTTGCACATAGAAGATAAGAAGTCGGGACAAATTTTTTTTTTTCATTTGATAGTATATAACATAACCTTTGATTTGATATATGTTTAAAGGAAGCAGTATTTCCGGAACATTTTCAAAAGTTCAGTTGAAAAAGATCTATGTTTTTTACAATATTTTAAGTTTTCAACGACTCCTATGTAAGGGGAAATTGTCCAATTTTAGAAGATAGGTCTATGCGCAAAAGGCTACCGTATTCAAAAATATGCTATTTTAACAAATTTTTTTTTTATAAATTAAACACTATCTACAGATTTGCATCGAAGCGTTTATATGATAGTGATTTTAATCACTGTCAGATATCATCTATACTGGACCCAACTATGCCACGACCCCACTGTGCCGCCACCCCACTGTGCTGGGTTTTTTATTGTGAACTGGGTAACTTTCTAAAATATAGTTTAAGTATTTTTGTGTTGTGTATTAATTATAATGTAGTATTTTTCTATATTTTATGATTAGATTTGAATATGTGTTAATAAATTAATATATTCCAAATTAAACTTTGTTTAATTTAGGATATAATTTATATAATTTAATATCAGCATTATGTTATTTAAATCTGGGTTTAAAACTTCTATTTTATTTTCAATGTAAATTTTATTGTATTCACAGTTTAATTTATATATATATATATATATATATATATCGTTTATAACGTTTGTCAAATGAATTATTATTA